GAGAAATTGAGATGGAATTTCCAAATGAAAGGACTGATTGCCGCAAGATTGCAAGGGTTCGGGATTTATAAATAAATAAATAAATCAAAGCAGTGTTGCCGCTTAGACCCAACAAGGATGTGCCTGTTTTTTCTTATTTCCCTGAACGTTTGGTTTTGCCGCAATACTGCTTGGCGAAAACAAAGTTGTTTAGGCCAAATCAACATTGTGGGAGTCTCTTGCCTGCTAAGCGAAGATATTATTATTTTTTTTTAAAAAGTGAGACAAAGGCAAAGCATGAATGGCCATGCTATGTTGGTGTGGTTATTTATATCATTAGCAAACTTTGGCCACGTAAATATAAGCACGTGTTTTCTGTCAAGAACCAGTTGGTCCCAATAACTCGAGTTGTTGGAAGAAGGTTCTGCTGGATCGTATACCACTCTCTAACACGCCCCCTCAAACGAAAGCCAACCCATGGGCTTGAAGTTTGCACAAGCCCACCATACCATGTGCTTGAAAGACAACGGTTAATATTGGGGGTCGTGGAGATTCGAACACATGACCTTTCGGTTCTAGGCTCTGATACCATGTCAAGAACCAGTTGGTCCCAATAACTCGAGTTGTTGGAAGAAGGTTCTGCTGGATCGTATACCACTCTCTAACATTTTCCATCAAATTGTTGTCTTGAGGATAGTTATGATTATAAGCAAGATTGGTGTCTTTGGCAAATATGGATGCAAGATCATGTGGAAATATGATTTCTCGTGAAGTTGGTGATTGCTCTTCAAGTTGATCAGTATTTTGTGATGTAAATTATGTCAACAACTTAGTTCATAAGAAGAACAATTTCTTATAAACTAAGTTGTGGGGGTATTGTTTACACCTAAAATATTTTTGGCCTAAATTCAATGCCGTAATAATGAGTCTCGGCATTTAATTCGATATCGCATGGCCAAAACGATGTCGTTTGGAGTCGAGCAGTACCGCGGAGAATTTAAGCGAGACCGCGAAGAGGCACGGCGGTACCGCGGTACTTGAAACGACATTGGTTGCAGACCATGTGTGAATCAAGCGCAGGACATGTGTTGCTGTTGGACAATGAATGTTTTTTATTTTTATTTTTCCTTGTCGTAGGAGGAGAGTAACAGCACCGTTTGGAGTCAAGCAATGCCGCGAAGAGATAAAACGGTGCCGCGAACCTCAAAGCTCGACGGCATCGCGAGACTGGGAAACCGTGTCGTTTGGATAAAAATCGGCATCGCGAATAAACCCAACGACACCGCGGATCAGAAAAACGGTACCGCAAGGAAGCTCACCGGTACCGCGGCACTGGAAACGACAATGTTTACCAGAAAACAGGATGGGGGCCGCGCACGTAGTATTGGTGTTGGAAAAGGAGTTATTATTAATATTATTATTTATTCCTTGTCGGAAGGGGAGAAGCGATACCGCGTGGAAACAAGCGGCATCGCGGAGAAGTAAAACGATGTCGCGAGAGGCCTTGATAAGCGGTGCCGATTAATTAAAAACGGTATCGCGAGTAAGCCCCACGGTACCGCTGTATTAGCAAACGACAGTGTTTAATATAAAACAATGTCGTGGAGTAAAAAAGCAAACATAGCTGTTTGGGGAAGAAAACGACATCGCGTGAGATTCACACCAACCCGAGCGAGGAGGAGATCAAGACGGTTGAGACACGTGGGAGTTCACAACGGAGCAGTTGAGGAAGCAGTTCTACCTAGCGTGAAGACTACGAAGCAGTTTTTCGAATAAAAGCAGTGGAGCAAGGAGAGAGAAGGAGAACCAAAAATCAACACAGAAACACATCTGTCAAACTTTACCTTTTTTCTCTGTAACTCCTTCGCGGAGCTCTCCTTCCAGGAAGGATCTCCATAGTTGGTAGAAGTAGTCGTAGTCGCGGAGCTCTCCACAGGAATCTCCATAGGAGTAGCGTAGCGTAGATTCCCCAAAACTCAAACACCCTCGTTCGAACGTAGTTTGGAGAGGTGCGAACCGTAGTAACGGTCGTTCTTGGTTAGAAGTCAGAGGTGCATCGATCAAATTAACACCGCCTGGCGGTGGATATTTAACGGTCACGTTGATTTCACCATTTAGAGGTGCATCCATCAAATCAATGGCGCCGACATTCGGCGGCGGATATTTGACGGTCGTCTCGATTTCAGCAATCAGCGGTGCATTCGATCAAACGGCACCGCAAGAGTTTCCACCGTGAAACATCAAATCAACATCGCCGGAAACGAATTCGGCACCGGCGGTGGTATTTGTTTTTCTCGGGAAACACAAACATTGTAGTGAATATAAGTAAGGTTCATTAAAGACGCTAGGTGTGAGGCGGGGCTTCGCCTACATTGTTGCTCGCGCGCGCCGCGACATAAGCTAAGTGTGCCTAGACTCTGGAAGGGAAAAGAACGATTTGTAATGAATGAAATAATAGTTTACAAAACTCATCTACCTTAGCTCAAATAATTAGTAACTTTATTAACTTTTAACCACATGAAAATATATCACAAGTTGATTGAATCACCGCTCAATACATCACAAAGTTCTTGAACTGTTAAAAATATTGAAATCGAAAATTAAGATTGTAATTGATGTTAATTTCCGTTCTTGATATTGATTGCCTAGACCCATAGCACCTTACTCGCCATCGACATGCTCTCGACACCTAACTCGTTGCAAAACTTCTATAGACAAATCCTTTTAATATTATCTAGTGCCAAGGTATGTCTAATCATAAGTTTAACTGCACGCACATTTTAAACCACCGCTATAAAGGACAACTCGAAGATGAGAGATGAGGTCGCAATCTTTAATATTCTCTTCTGTGGAATGATTACATCGCAATTACTATGTGAATTCCCCTAATTAGACATGTGGAAAAAGCCACGTACGTTCTGCCCCCGTTTATTCTGCCCTCGTCGGTATTGAATCAATTGGGCAAATGTGGGGTTCAATATTTAATCAACAGCTGACCGAAGTTGATAGGGCTGACGTAGTCCGCGTTGTCGCTGAAAAAAGCTTCAACAAGTAGCCCGACGGCGTACTCAGTTAGACTGTATTGGTCCCAAAACCAATATTCGGTACGGTTCTTGCACAATGTAGCAGTTGGACTACATGGCGTCGCCTCGTTTCCGCAGCACGGAGCTCTTAGCTCTTTCAAACCTAAAAATAAGGGGTAAAAAAAAGGAAGGAAAACAACATTTTCATAATCAAAATCAGACTGCTGCATAATTATCAAATTTTTTTTATCCTGCAACTTATATCCAAACTGATGATAATTGCGAAATCGAATCCAAGAATTTTATACAAAATATTAAACACATCATTATCGAGTGAGGAAAAATCAAGAGTAAATGCGATTTATTAGCCGAAATTTTCAAATTATTTAACCAACCTTTTGAAATACAAAATATTAGTCAAATCTTTTGTAACGTATCAAAATATTACTCATTTGTCTATTAATGTTAATAATATGTTTAACTCTTTTCTACTTTCTAGTATAAAATACTAAAAAAAAATTTGTAACGCTGGCCTTCAAGTATGTTTCTTTTCCAACTCTGCATCACTACCGAAATCACTAACTGGCTAATATATTGTATTCCAAAAGGTTTGACTAATAATTTGAAAATTTTGAAAGATTTAAGTAAAAAATTTTGCATTTACTCAAAAATCAATTCGGTATATAGTTACCGCAGTTTGCTGCACCCTCAGAGAACGTGAGGAGGTCCGAAACAAATCTGTAGGTATTTCCGATGGCATAAATGAGACCAGGAGCTGAAGCGCCGAGGCTTCTCAAAGCCAGAGTGAGGCGTTGATAGATGGCTTGAGACAACGCATTTGCTCTGGCATTGCAACCGCCGGTAGCATTCAAGGCGCGGAAATAAGGGAGGCACCCAATCGGTGGAGGCGCCACTATGGCACTCCTCCGCAGCCCGACAGCGTATAGATCCTGCACCATCATTGTTTAGGTGCGTAGTTAGAATTTTTGGTAAAGCGTATCCGAAATTTTAAAGAAAATCTAGGATAAATTGAGTTGTACTATATATTATCCAATTTTTATCAGCTATGACATAATCTTATATAGTAAAAATGTTGTACAATACAATTATCATTCAAACTATTTAATGGATCCCTCTCAATTTATCCTGTAAAATAATCATTTATGATTCCAATACTCACTCAATTTCAAAGTGAGTTCTTCTCATAATTTATTGTGAAATTGTATTATTACTAGACAAATTATTAGGATAAAAGGTAGATGGAAAGTTTCGAGATGAATTTGTGAAAAAGAGCAACAAAATTTTAGAAATTATCGTGTTTATAGCTCAATGTAATTTTATCTCGCAAAAACACTAGAGCTTAGTGGGAAAATGCTAGATAGTATTTTTTGTATAGAAATTACTATACATATTGTAGGAAATTGAGTATAAGTTCATTTTCACAAATTAATTTTAATTTGTTGAAAAATATATTGATTAATATGGTTGACTAATTAATAAACATATTTATACTCAAATTCTGCCTCCGTCTCTGGTCATGTTAACCCATTTTTAGATCCCGCGTTTAACAGTGAGTAGAGTTGGATGAGTAATGAGTCGGTTGGATGGTTTTTAGACTAAATTGTTCGCTCATTCATGACTTTGATGGGTGGTGAAAAAATGATCAACATTCATTAATTTTTATAATTATGGATATGCTAGATCGGCGATTGCAGATGATGGGGGAGTTTGGTAATCTGATGGTCAAAATTTTTGAAATAATTAAGGGTAATGAAAGCTTACAACTAACTGAATGGATAGTATCATAGTAAAGTTAAAAAATTCAACGTATTTGAGAATCGTTAAAGGTAGTCAATTTGTATATATAATCTAACATCAGTCATCTCATTTGTGAACAAAATATAGATTATGGATTATTATTATTATTATTATTTTCAACCATCTACGTATGATATTGTTGTAAAAAAGCATCACCGTATTTGTACTGGAGTAAACATGTCAGGTTACCAGAAGACCACCGACGAATTGGGATATCAACGCGTCGAGGAAGAGGTCATCGGAGCGATAATAGGGACGGCCGGCGGTGAGATTCTGTATGTACTCCACCGTATCACCGACTCCAACGCTGAATAGAAAGAAAGACTGGCGAATAAAATTGGCGGAACCCGGTTGCCCCAGTACAGCTGTGAGGTTTCCGGCCACCGACGTCGAGAACTGCCGGACCTGCTCTGGATATGGCACCACCTGGAATATAATTTGGTAATAAAGAACGCGCTTTTATGTAGAATCACACTTTAATCATAGTCACGATTTTAACTGCACTAAAAAATTAATTAAGCAGACGTACTTGACCATAAGCGCGACCGGTTGAGGAGAGAATGCCGGAGAATGCTGAAGCGAAATTGACCCCACGGCTTGTTATAGTCCGGTTGAATTTGTAGGAAGGGTAACCGCCGGCTACCAAGGAGAGGAACGACGGCGGGCTCATTTCAAAACCAATTCTCCTAGCTGCCCAACATAAAAAAAAAAAAATCTAATTATGTTCTTGATACATTTCCCAATATATATAAACGATCACACAAAAATTTCTCAAAATACACAAATTTGTGACGGCTCGCTGTAGTCATCTCCATCGCGCGCGATCTGGTATCGTTGGACACGATCAGTAGTTATAGGAAAATAGTTGGAGACTAAATCGAACTATCCTTGAACCCGCGATCTGGACTGGTTCGAGGATAGTTCGCTTTAGCTGCTGGTAGCGGTATAGGGCTAATTCGCTTTGGTATCTAGCAAACTGCAACCTAAATTTTTTGGACACTGCAACGAATCGCACCGAATTTATGTATTTTGAAATTTTTTGGTTTAGGTGGTCTATACTGAGAATTTTTTCCCGGAAAAAAAATGCATGGGGTGAATAAAAGAATGGTTTATGATGATCGTACCAACTTCGTCGGCGACAACGCGGCCATTGGAGAATCTGCCGTGAGGCACAGAATCAAAGAAATCGATCCCGTAGAAGGGGAAGTTGGCCGCAATTGCCGTGCTGTAAGGCAAGAAAGCGTTGGTTCCGGCATCGACTAGAGTTCCCCCGAACACGAACACAGCCGGAGGAACAATTCGAACGGAGGAGCAGTAGCGAGGAGGCGTCAGAACAACCATAGAGACGAAATATAGAGCCCAAGCCGACGATCGTGGGAATTTCGTCGCCATTAACCCCAGACGATGTGCCAGAGCAGAGGAAAAACAGAATACATATGATAATAAATTAGCGACGTTTTTGTTTTGTCTCCTTTTTCCCGCGGCAATCTATTTATTAGCATTGCGTTTGGGGGTGTGGCCATGTAGAGAGAAGGAGACACGATTGGTATATTGAGCTAATAAATTATGGATTTTGACTGGTTAACTATTTCCTTGCTTGATGAATTGGTTAAAATTTCCTCTATTTCAAGTTTGTTAAAGTTGATGTAGAACGTCTCTACAAAAAAAATGGTGAAGAGAGTTGGGTGGGTGGTCATGAGCTGACGTGAAATGGGCGCCGGCTGGCCGTGCAACGGGGAACCATTGTTTGATAATAGGGCTGCCATAAATCAACTATGAAGTATGTATAGACAGAAGTATTCGGTTACTGGGTAAAATCGATATACTTTTAATGTCGAATCGGGATTTATTTTGACTGTGATTTGGAGCAACGATGGCGTAAAACGGTAACCGTTATAATTCATCACTATTTTGAATATCATATTCACGATTATTTGCTCTTTGATTGACTAACAGTTTTCAACATTATATGTTGCACATAATTTTTTATTGATTTTTCATTTCATGCATCTATATGTTTAGGCAAAATATTGTGAGCATCTAATATTTTTTCAGCCTCATGAAAAAAAATCATGCACGTGATTTAGAATTATCACACGTAAGGTTCGAATCAAACTCATTTCAATTTATTTCTCTTTTGGTGAATGTATAGCTCAACAAACTCAGAAGTTGAACATTTTGGTGGTAATAGACTGCTCAATAGATGGTAAAAAATTTCCTCCAATTTATATGTATGACCCTTGCCCATCATTCAAATAATGATCCATTTTGTCACTCATATAATTAAACTCAAAAGACATACATTGTAAATCCTTCTGTACTCTCAAAAATATTTTGCAATGTCAATATCTGACACTAACAAAACCATTTGGAATTGAGATGTGACTGATCTTGCCACTCATAGAATTAAACTCTATGATACCATTATACATTATTATGCACACCCGAACATTACCATTTTATCATATGTAATATGATAAAATTGAGTTGCTTTCAACGAATTTCTCTATTTGATGAATGTACAAATAAACAAACTTAGCAGTTGAACCTTCTGATAGCAGTAGATTTCTCAATCAATGGCAAGTTTTTAACCGCGAATTTAAAACACGTATACCTCACGTCCATTATTCAAACTATAATAGCAAAAAATTTTTTTGTATCATTGGTGCTTTTTAGTATGTGAAATGGTTATTGTTTGATTTCTAATAATGTGTTTGAAACGAACGTGAATGAAATGAAAGTTTGGAAATGACTAATAACTAAATTTGTCTTTTATTTATATATGATTTTATTCAAATATTTGTAAATGCTTATTGAAACAAAAGTTTTTAGTTTTTAATGATTTATGCTAGAAAAAAAAGAATACAATATATATTTGTGAGATTTTCTAGTATAATTTATTTAGATATTAGATTCAACACTTTCGAAATTAAATCGGATGTGAGCCCATAAAGTAAAAATGATCACTGAGTTTTGGGAGGTTAGAAGTTTCTCGACTAAAAAGAGAGGAACGAAGTAAAGGATTGCTTCTTTCTTCCCAAGACACTGACTATCGTGATAGTTTGAGTTTAGGTGTTAAATTCATTTTTACGTAAGACAACAAAGTGAAGTTTTTGTTGTGCACAAATTTTTTCACAATGTACTTTTTTATGACATCAACACAACACTAACTTGTGATCGAATGTAGGGCTGCAAGTTAGCCGAGTCTTAGTCTAGCTTGAGTTTGGCTCATTAATAAACGAGTTGAGCTCGAGCTCGACTTGTTTATTAACAAATCAAGTCGAATTAGAGCTAGCTTAATTAATAAAATCTTGACTCATATTTTATATATTCATTTTGTATGTCATACATGATACATGTGATTAATGTCAAGATGAAGAAAAAAAAATTGTTAAGTGTTTAATATTAACTAATCTCATGTTATACTGTGTGGTATTAAATTATTTAGTTAATAAATTTTAACTATTGAAAATTATGTTATTTCATATTATCGAAGAAATCTATGATACATAATTGCTTTTTAAAATTAAATAAGACATATTTTCTCACATAATCTATGTGTTAAACTTCATATAGGGTGATATATATAATTTAACAATCCTAAGAATTATCAAAATCAAACTCATATAGATCGATTCGTTCATAAGTAGATAATTGAGTTGGCTCTCTAGCCACAATGTTGAGAGTTGAGACATCTCATGAGCTCTAAACGAGCCAGCTCACTCACGAGTTGAGTTAAACAAGCCCAGAGTCAAGTTCTCTCGCGAGCTCCGCGAGCTACAGAAGGATAAGCTCAAGCTCGCCTCATTAGTAAACAAGCTAAGTTTCGATCGAGCTTTTTCTGAGTCGAGCACCGAGCCGCTCGCGAGCAGCTCGACTCATTTGCAACCCTAAATGTAGGGGTGTTCAAATGGTTACCATGGTAATTACCAAACCAAATAAAACTAAATTTTATTAACCATGGAATACAATATCATAACCAAACCGTCCAAACTAATACAACAAACAAATTAACCAAACTAAAGTTTAATCGGTTTGGTTAATTGGTTAACCAGATTAACCAATAAAATATCATATTCTCATTAAGTGAGAATATTTTCTTGTTAATGCATCAATTTTTAATATATATAATGAATAGAACATAACAATCAACACATAGTTATAGTTAAGCCTTAACTTAAATACATGAAACTAATACAATTATCTTACGACCAATATATGCCAAAGGTATTGTGTTAATGAATTGTTTTGTTTGTGTGAATGGACTTCTCTTAGCAATTATCATAGGCTGAAAAAGATCTTTCATTCAACTTTTCATCCAACATAATATATGAATTTTATTAAAATTAGGCATCCATGTGTTGTGATCTACATTCTACAAATACAAATATATAGTATAGGAACAATATTGAGCTTTACTTTTATGAGCCTAAAAGGGAGGATCGTTTGACTCTTGAGTGGTTAGACAACATATTAAGTATGTTTATCTAATATACATTAGATATATGGCTAATTACTTAACTGGTTGATTTGGTTTGATTGGTTAGAAGTGTCTGAAAACAAACCAAACCACCTAAACCAAACAAGCTAAAAAAATTTACCAAACCAAACCAATTATCCAATTTAACCAAACCAAATTATCCAAATACAATCGGTTAAAATGGTTATTCACGTTAACCACTCCGTTTGAATACCCCTGCTTGAATGAGGTCTTAGAGTGAAAATTCACATATTTGGTAAATAAGCACTTAAGAAATAAACATGATTTAGATCAATGAAAAGAAGATACAATTGCATATCATGATCATGTAATAAAGGTATAATTATAGTCTTATACTACCAATCTATACATCTATAATTGTCTATCACTTTTAATACTTTAATAATTATATAGAAAATGTTAGCTATAGAGACACTCCTTCATTTTACACATTACCAGATACAATATTAATTCAATACCCAAATATCCAATAACAATAACAGTGGCGTTAGTTCTTCCTTATAGTTTACTGTCCATCATAATCAGTAGAACAACAAAGAATCAAGTTTTATCTTATACAATTGAGTTCCCTCAGACATTCTAACAAACAGCTTGCTCGTAAAACATCCACAACACGCTCCATTTCTTTAGCTACAAGGCTTGATGAAGCTACATTATCACCAGATGAGGCTAAACTACAACAGTTATAAATTAATAGAGACTTGCTCAAAAAGCAAGTAATCTATCAAATTATTAAGCCAGACGAATTGACAACATTTCCTTCTTTTATTGCGGTGAAGATATGCATGCATGTTTTGTCTCTTCTTTTACCATCTGGTTCAAGGCTTCAAAAGTATCAACGAGCTGCTAGCTGAGCGAAGTTTATAGGAGAGACGTATCTTGGGTTGGCACTGAAGAAGGCGCCAATTAGCAACTCGGTGCAAGCGTCGGTCAGAAAGTATTGGCTACAATATAGATATTGGTCATCATTCCCGCAGAGGGTAGCAGTTGAACTACAAGGAGTCGTTCCACTCCCAAAGCACGCAACTCGCACCTCCCTCAAACATGATATCAAGGGAAAATCCCAATTTTTCACCAGCTGCAAATCCCCAATTTCAAGTTCCAACAGCTAGTTCACGACCCAAGTGGAGCGACGTCGTTGCGGGTAAAAGAAAGCAGACTTGTTGAAACGTCGTCGTGCCAATCCTGAAGACTCAACGTCCCTTTCATCGTCCAGAATATGTTCCCTCTCATTTTCTGTTTTCTCTGATTTCTTTCTGTAAAGCAACAACTAAGAGCTATTGTCTTCTTCTGTGGATCCTTGTATAAATTGAACGATCTGATCTAATGAGAAACTAAGTTAGGGTTTCAAAGGCCATACGCGCTGTTATGGTATCAGAGCAACCCTAGCCGCCTCCCAACAAGCAAGCAACCCAACAGGTTCCAATGGCGGATCCTTACTACCTTCATGGCTCAAATCAACCAGGGTTGATGCTGGTAGGTGAGAAGCTGACCACCACCACCTACAACGACTTGAGCAAAGCCATGTTGAATGCTTTTGGGGCCAAGAACAAACTTGGTTTCATCAATGACACGATTACACCTCCTCTTGCTGATCATGCTCAGTTCTCCTCTTGGACTAGAAACAACATTATGATCCTCAGTTGGATTCAACAAGCTGTGGAGCCTGGCATCAAGAAGACAATCATGTCCTGTAAACTCGCATCTAAAGCATGGGCTAGCCTCAAGGCTCGATATGGTCAGGGTGATATGATTCGTGTTGCTGAACTAATTGAAGACCTTGGTGCACTCAAACAATGTAATCAAACAGTAACTGAGTATTATGGTAATCTCATTGCTTTACAAGATGAATTGAACAACTACTAGCCTATAGATCCATGTCGTTGCACAG